AAAAATAAGAACCAAGAGACTCATGTAATGGTACAAGACCCCAATGATGAATGTAACTGTATTGTATACCTAAAATGTACCAATAAACTTAATGAGGGGAAAAAAAAATACAACCTAGAAGTGATGTTTGGGGGCAGACATTGAGTTACCCATAATCTTAAGGTACACTGCATGCCTTTCAGATCTCCCTGTGTACTCGTGAAAAGAAATAGAGAAACAAAGAAGGAGAAGGAGGAGGAGGAGGAAAGGGAAAAAAAGAAGAGGAGGAACAGAAACAAAAACAAAGAAAAGATGGGATCTCAGGCTCATCCTGCCCCAGCAGCAGCCCACCCAATTTTCTGTCTTGAGTGTTCTAGGGTCCCTGACAGGCATGCACAGCTCTGTGCAGGGTCAGGCAATCCTGCCATTCCCTTCCCCCTGGCACACAGCTACTTACGACTCCATGGAGGGCTTTTTAAAAAGTATGGAGATGCTTCTGTCTATAGCAACTAAAAAGTACACACTTGTTTTGACAGGGAGATAAACTTATGGCTAAAATTGCTGGAGGAGTTGCAAAACCACGTAAGGCAGAGGAGAAAATCAAGCTGGCATTAGAGAAAGGAACCTGTGAGGCCCGAAAGAGTACAGCCAGCGGGGCTGGAGCAGCTGCACCATGGACAGATGCAAAGGGCGGAGAGGTGCCCACCCTGTGGGGGAGCTGAGGGCAGAGCCCTGACAGCAGCCATCTTTGAGGTGCAGCCAGGGGAGGCCAGTGCTTGTGCCCTTCTCCCTCCCCAGCACAGCTCACAGCTGCTTGCTGACCAGGAGGAGAGAATGAGAGGGAACCGGGGGTGGCCAGCTACACCAAACTCTGAGTGCCGTTGGTCCCATCACAAGGCCCTCCCACCGGAAAGCAGGAAGGCTGGAGGGGAGCTGAGCCTTTCTTCATTCCCCTCCTCCGCCTCACTTCCCCAGCCAGCCAGGGCGACAGTGAGAAAAACCTCCTGAGCTCCCCAGCTCCCTGCCTCTCCCACTCACTGACATCAGAAAAAGTTAGAGGACTTGAGTTTCCTAAGAGATGAAAGCCTCAGAAAGAGGGGAAAGGGCAAAAAGGGAATGGTTTTAAAGCAGAGAGGAGGAATAGAAAAAGTGAGAACCAGTGGGCTCCTCCTCGGTCTGAGTCCATAGTCCACTGGGTCCCAGGTGGGCATCTGCTGTCACCGGAATGGTCCCTTGAATCCGCACCGCTTAGGACATGAACTCGGCCACCAAAAGGGGAGCCGTGACATCGGTGGACTGCGCCTGTGCCCTTTGGTTTTGAGTGAGAGAGGACCCCTGTTATCTGAAGTGTGGAGGACCCAAAGCTGCCTGTGTTCTGCCCCTGGTTCTCTCCACTGTGGCTCAGAATGGGGTTCCCACCCTGGCTGCACGAAAAACTCTGCTTGAGACACCGGGTGGTTCTGTCCTCATTTGTGTCTCCCCAGTGAGCAGATTTTAGTTCCACCTGACCCAAGAACAGCGTGTGCAGACCTGAGAGGACGCCAGGGAGGCTGCTCCTCCGTGCAGGGTGCGCCCTGCACACCTCTTGCTGTTTCCAGTTAGACGGAGCCGGTACTGCTTATCTTCACTGCTTTTATTTACAGGAACTCATTTTTCTAGGGACTTGGGAGCCTTTAATTGCTGGGGGGAAAAAATCCCATGTAAGCTGCAAGGGAAGGAGGGCAGGAGGAGGGAGAGAGAAAGCGAGAGGGGATGGAGAAGAAGGAGAAAAGGAAATAAGCCTTTGGCAGGCCTTCCCGAAGTTGTGATTCTGATGCCTTTTCCCTCCAGCCACTGGCTCAGCAAGAGAAATGCCCCTGGAGAGGGTCCCGGGGTTCCTGAAACGGAGAGCCCACCCCACCCCCACCCCCGTCGGGTAAACCTATTGATTCCCATCATGGAAAAAGGACTAGTCAGGACAGGACTCGTTGATAAGACGCATAAAGGGGTTTATTAGCCAGAATTTTAAAAATACACACTCAAGTCCGAGCTAGGTATATTTGTGGGAGATTTGGAGGGTGTGGAAACCCATGAATATGGAAAGAGGGGATTCCGTTTTCAGGAGCAAGGTGACAGCTCCGGCCCATTCACCGGAAAGGCTTATTTTACAGGTGGGAAAAGGTGGCCTAGTCACAGGTGAAAGACGCCCCTGTGTGGGTAAAAGGGAATTAATTGCCCAGTCTTGGGAGGAAAGAAGAAAAAACACTTTTTAAACTGGGCTTGTGTCCTGAAGCCGCAGTTTTTATTTTTACAGTTATGATTTTCCTGGTCTCCTTTCCACCTATCTTTACTTTTTTCTGTTCTACGTCAGGGCCGAGCGCCGCTCCCCTGGGTGTTGGATAGAAATAGGTCACTGTGAGGGGCGGCGGGGGGGGCGTCCTCCTCTGAAGTGGCCCTGGGCTTAGTCCTCAGCTGGCCCTTGCCGCCATGGGCTGTAGGCGGGCGGGGGAGACTCCAGTGGTGGCCGAGCAGGCCCGGGGCTCTGGGAATTCAGGGCCAGGACTCCAAGTGTGGGCAGTGTGTGTTATTCCTGCCACAACCCAGAACTCTGTCCCTTGGGCGCAGCTTGGCTCTGCAGCTGTTTGAAAATCCCCTGGCACTTGGAGACAAATGATCCAAGTCAGGCTGTGCTAACAGTTAGGTCGGTTCTGGAACCAGTGGGAGTGAGACAGATGTGGGCCTGCTGCCCAGTCCAGGACCCATCCATCACTGCCCACCACAGATCCCACAGGCCGCAGTCTATCCGATAATATTGTTTACATTAGAACACGACTGAAACTTTGGAGAGAGAAGGATGGCAGGAAACACTTAGACCCGAGAGCTGCCTCCCAGGTGGGGCAGAAAGCCTTGGAGGCTTTGTCCTGTGTGGGTGGAGCTGCTTTCCTGACAGACTGTCCCTGAGGAGATGAGGAACGTTCTGGAACTTGGGAACCACTTCAGAAGGGCGGAGGAGAGAGCTACATGGCTCCACACACCTGTCACGATATGGTCTCCACCTGGCTTAACACCCCCCCCCCCCGAAATCTTGTGCATTCGGCCGCAGGGGCTGCTGACAAGGACAGATTTTTCCACCTCAGACTCTCACGGCTCAGATGGCTTTGTCCAGCATGGTGAGGGAATGCAGTACTTTGCACTGGATCTGGGGCTCCAGAAAGGCCCTCAACAGAAGAGCCTGGGATAGCCCCAAAGACAGAAGGAAGGGCTGACACAGAGGCCCAGGGAGAGGGGGTGTTGCCTGCTGCAGCTGACAGACTTGGCTAAAGAAGGATTATGCACCTGTTTCGTCTGCAGAGAAAAGGCTACAAGTTATGACTATTTCGCTCTGACACGCCCCATTAAACATTCCTGAAAGCCAAACGGAAAAGGAACAAAATAAATGACTTTGAAGTTCCAGGCAAAGGCTGACCTGGCTGGGTGGGGTCCAGGTACAGCTGGACATCTGGGCAGCCAGGATCCCTCCCCTGCTGCCCTGGCCTCCCGGCAGGTGGGGTGGAGTGCTGTTCCCTCCACCGCTCTTTCGAAGCTGGGTCTGGGGCTCAGATTGTCCTCAGGTCTGCAGGAAGTGGGGGACTGAGAGCAGCCCCCATGGAGCCCTGGTGCCCACCCTGCAGGAGGGAGCAGTCTCTGGCTGTTGACTTCCTGAGAGCCCAGGCTGCCCTGGGCAAAGCAGATCCTGACAGAATGCACAGGCCTCATGCTGTAGATACTGCCAATGAATGAACTCGCTTAGTCCTCAAAACAAACCTCCAATGTGGGAATCATAACTCCCCCCGCACTGCAGATGGGAAAACGGAGGCACGACACAATGAAGTGTCTTTCCCAAGGGCCACAGAAAGGAGGTGAAAGCTCAGAATTCGAACTCACAGCCTGGCTCCAGAGAACCTACCCTTACCCAGGATGTGCTGCTGTGTCTCTCACTGCACGTTAAAACCCATTATCCAAGCCCAACAGTGTGTGACAGGCCACTTCCTGGTCTCACATGGGCTCTCACACCCCTGGAAAGTTTCCCAGGACCTGTGACCAGCTTTCCCTCCCAGTCACAGCCCTCCTAGCTGCCTAGACACCCCCAACCCGCCTGGCTATGGCCCTACAAATCACCCCAGAGCCTGTTTCTCAGTGTTTCCCTCCTAGGGAAATGGAAGAGTCCTACAAAGCTTGATTGCCATTAAAAAGCCAACAAAGGAGCCGGAACCCAGGGGCCATTCTTGGACTAGTTAAGGCAGCGCCCCCCACTGGTCAGCCCCAGGATTCTTTGGGGTTTGTGGATCACTGAGGTCCTCCCTTGCTTGAGGGGGCTGTGAAGGGCCCTTCACACCATGCTCAGCATCAGAGCCTGCGGTCCTCAAGAGCAAGGACCGGGGTGGGGACACCCACTCCTGTCCCTGCATGCGCGTCAGAGCCCACGTCCTCTGCTCCTCAAGGCTATCTTCATCCCTTCTCCCTGTGGCCTCAGCTAGGATTTCTCTGAATCCTGGGAAGAGGCCTCCTTCACCCAGACTCACTCTCACCCTGGCTGAAGGTGTCTGTGGTACCACTGCATCCTTCCTCCCAGGGACTCCCCCGGCCTCCTCGCTGAACTGGATGCGTATTTCCAGAACACAGATCAGATGAAATCTCAAGCCTGCTTCAAACAGTTTTAAGTCTGATGGGGCCACCAGCCTAAGGAAACAGCCTTGGTGTCTCATAGTTTACTGTGCGGCCCTCCACAGTGCAGCCCAGCCCCTTGGCCTTCGCTTTACTTTATCTAGCCAGAGCAGGCCGACCCCCACCTGGTGTTCCTCTCCTACTCATCAGACAAAGCTCTATCAAATATCTCCTATGGCTACACTCACCTACCTGTCCAGGAGCATTTCAGAAATTCCTTTGCACTTCCTTCTTGTTATAACCCCTTGTATCACATTCATTTATTTAAGTATCTGTCTCCTCACTGTAATGGTTAGAGATGGTGGCCTCAGCTTTGTATTTCCAGCACCCAGTAATGAGTTGAGGTACACAGATTTGGAGAGAGAAATACATCGAGTCGATCGTCTTCATTGACCAGCATGAGCGCATTCCTTACTTAGCTGTGGCAGAGAACACATTGGGAGAAACTGAACTACTCTGTGACGAGGAAGAGAAGTGTACCCTGAGTGTTGCCAAAGGGGGCTGGAGAGGTAGGCATGGAGCCTTCAGGGATCTGGCACGCTCAAGGGCAAAGCCAACCCCATCAGCCTCGAAGAAGCTCAGGTCGGCCCTGCCCGAGGGACCCCTCTCTGCCTCCCGACCTGCCTCTCCCATCACCTCCTGGCATGATGGAACCCGCCCCTGGGCACCTCCTCCTTGTAAATCCACAGCAGGTCAGCATGGGTCATCCCCACCGCCATCTTTTCTGTCCTCCAGTAAACAGCAAGCGTCTTCCCTTCCTGAGCCCCCACCTCAGATCCTCTCATCTAGAAGTCATGGCCGCTGCCTGGAGTACACCGGTCACCATGGAGAAATGGGCTTCGAAGTCCAATGCATCCAGATTCAGTGCTCTCTCAGCCAAAATCTCAGTTTCCTCTTCTCTGAAGGGGGTGAGGAGCTGTGTGAAAAGTAGAGATGATATATGTAGATCCTCAAGTAGCAAGCAGTAGGTGCTCCATAAACGGTAGCCCTAGGCTTCAGTGCCCTCCTCGCTTTTCCTTTCAAGTTGGTGAATAGTCAAGCGTGGCTGTGGGTTTGTGAGCCTGGTCAGGGGGCTACGTTCACCTGTGCGTGTGGCATGCGTGGCAGGGACATGCAAGAGAGTGCAGCAGGACAGGGTGCGTGCAAGAAAAAACTAAAGCTATGCATGTAAACGAATAGACCTAGAAGACATTCCAAAGATAAATACCAAAAATCAAGAGTCTTGGAGTTCTGAGTGATATTTTTCTCTTTTTGTTATATATTTATCTGTTTATTTTGTTTCAGAAATGAGCATGCCTTGAGTAACAATAAGGAAAAAGTTAAACCACATGTTGCAAAAATCTGCATGCAATATGGTTCTTAAATTCAAAGCACCATCTGGGACTTTCGTGTCAAAGAACTACGGTTTACAACTGCAGGTGGCTGTGGCCTCCATGTGGAAGGAATTAAGGTAGCTGAGCATGTCCCCGCCTTGAGAAAGTCCCTGTGCAGAGTAGGCACATGCCACTTCCAGAGAGGAGGCCTCCCTGGAGCCACCCCCTTGGGAGAGAGCCTTGTGAAACTGATGGCATTGTTGCTTAAAACGAACTGTCCATTAGGTCTGTGATATTTGGGATCTTTTGTTCTAGCAATTAGATTACATTTTTACTTCATTTGGAGAGCTTTAGATTTACAAGAAAACTGCAGGAAAAAGCAAAGTCATTTCTGTAGTTGAAATTCTTGCTTCCTTATAGCTTTCTATTTCATAAATTTGCATATTAGTTGGGTTTCTTGAAGCAAGAAATACCCTCCTCACTAAATGAAAACTGGTTCTACGACCACAGCACCACATGATTTCAGGACAAAACTCAGGCGGCTTGGCCCCCTTCTCTGGCGTCAGCGTGCTGGAATGTGCCACAGCCAGGGGGTGATGACATTCTGTGTCTATGAAAAGCACACAGAGTCATTTTAGGGCCAGTTTCTCACCAGGCCTGCTCAGAGTCAAGGCAGTAGACTAAATTAACTCTTGACAGGCTTTTGAGTTCTGTAAGTCTATCAAATTTATTGTAGAGAGGCATCCGCTTTTTAAAATTGTAGTTACTTATCCTTCCATTAAGAAGTGATTGGAGAAATATTTGGTACAAATCATTTTAACATAATAACCAGCCAAGGGTCAAAGATTCAAAATGAGAATTATGAATCATAATAAAAATAATGTCTTTAGGAGGCTAAGTGATTCTCTAACTAAGACTATCTAAAATCTATTTACAAATGGAAATTTTACAATGTAGTTTGTTTTGAGGGTTGGTTAATTCAACTGCTTCATTACATCATCAATAAGTCGGGCTCTTTCAGTCTTTCTACTTTGCTACCTCTAACATTTTGCTTTTCCCTTCTTGCTCACAGACCCACAATTTTGAACCATCACATCCTCAAGCATAAACATCCCAAAGCCCAGTTTCTAATTCAATCACTGACGAGAAGAATAGACTTAATGCACAATGAATGATGAATCCCTGTCTGGAGCTGGAGACAGAGCTTTCTTCCTTCAAAATAATGATCTTGATATTTGAACAAAGTCAGGGCTTGGTTAGAAGAAGAAGGGATGGTGGATAGCCGACTCCAAAGATCTGTCCCAAAGACAGATATAAGATTCATACCTGATAACACTAAATGTTGGAAGACACCAGACAAATTCATTCATGGGTGTGGGAGGGAAATAATTCAAATCTGAAAGGCTATGCCAGGCCAACTATGAATCATGTTAGCTTTGGGTAGGAAAAAAATCAGAAAGTTTAACTTCCATAAAAGTTTTGAAGAACGGAAAGTATTGGAAAATGTATTTTATCAGAGCAAAATAGAAATTTGAGAAAGAGGAATACATTAGATCCAGTAAAAGTGAAATCAACCCAGGAATGCAATGAAAATAAATCTGCACTGAAAATTCTGCAGCAGGTCTAGAAAACAATGAGCCAAAATTAAACTTAAGTATCAAAGAACTGTGGCACATATGTATTCAAAATGCAAGTGGGTGCTGTCATGTAATTCTATGAATAGGAACCTCACATTTATTGATCAAATGAAAGTATATATTCTGTTAACAAAAATAAAAGTCAGAAATTCCAGGGAACATAAGTAGCTCTTCAATGTCATATCAGAAGTATGAAGCAGAATCAAAAGTGAGATAACATTAAGCAATTGATTAACAAAGAATGCATTTTGGCTGTGAGGTTTACAAAGTTTTCCTTGCAGTGGTCTGGGGTAGTGGAATAAGATTATATTCCTTTCACTATGGATCTATTCATACATTTTCTAGTTTAATCAGCAGATGATATTTGTACCATTGTAATTTTATAAGTGCTATATTTTGATGTGCTTTATAATCCAACTATTCATAAGGTGAAGGATTTGGTCTTTGGAAAAATATCAAGGTTACAAGTACTAAAGATGTAAAGGTAATATTACAGCTGATAAGAGTTGAGGAAGTTGAAGAAAAAAGTGGAAAAAATGAAAATGTACAAGTTCTGTATTTATTTGGAGAAGAAAGTTGATAAATACCATCTGAATTTTATGAATTTAGCAATAAAGATTTAGTAATGACCAAACTACAGTGGTAGCAATGAACACTCAAATGCTTAAATTAAGATCTTTGGGTTTGTTTGTTTGTTTGTTTTGGTACCGGGGATCAAACTTGGGACTTTGCACTTGTGCGGCAGGCAGCGAAACAACTGAGCTAAATCCCCAGCGCATAAATTAAGATCTTTAAATACCATTTCATCCTAAGAGCAACCAGCACATCTTGGAGAAATGGTTAATCCAGGTCTGGGGCAGCAAAGGTGTGAATGAACCTGGAGCATCTGTTCATATCAGAAAATGGAGAAGTATCAAAGACTCCTGGAGTAGGTCAGGAAGATTCAGACGTGAACTTGCAAAAGTTTCATTGATCAAAGACAGGACAATTTGAGGGCCAGAGATTTAGCCCAGTGGTTCCACCGCCTGCCTCGAAAGCGCAAGGTCCCGAGTTCAATCTCTGGTACCAAAAAACAAAACAAAAACCAGTGACAGAACAATTTGAACATCAATAAAAATTGAAATGCAATAGTTTTAAGCACTACATTGTTCATCATTGACATTATGAGTGATAGGAACTCAGTGTAAACCACTAGAAGATGCTGGAGGATCAATTCATCATTTTAAAAATTGGCAATTAAACAAGTTTTAAAGCAGTTAAAAGAGTTAAGCAATTATTTCTGCTTTACCTCTATCTTAGGATAATGAAATGCTTAAAGGAGAAATTTCTTTTCACAGAAGCATTTCAACTATTAAGGTGATAAGGAGTGAGAGACTACAATCTCCCCTAATGAAGAAACACATAGACAATGGTCTTCAAAGGCTGCTGTGACCATCCAAACAGACAGTCAGACACAATGTACCTCCAGGTGGAAGTTAACGGAACTGTAGATGCAAAATTCTTACTAGAAAATAAAAATCTCAATTTGAACAAGACTCTAGATCTAATTACCAACTTAGAGCAAATTATGGAAGAAAAGAACATGTTAAATGACATCATTGGGATGCAATGATCAAAATCCAGACAATGGAAACTCTCCAGGTCAAACAGCCTAGTTTTGTCAACAAGTTACATTGCGATGGGAAAAGGGAAAAAAAACAAAGAAGCTATAGATTTAAAAAGATTAAGAAGACATGTCACTCAATTGTAGTATTAGGACTTTTTTTAGATCCTGATTTAAGCAAACTTAAAAATAAAAGCAAATAAAAATTCAACAGTAACTAGTTACTAGGAAATTATTGTAATTTTTAGGTGTGTAATGGCATTGAGGTTATGGTGTTTGGTCTTTTTGAGTCTTTATTTTTAAAAAATACATACATTAATAAAATGGTATAATATCATATTTATTTCAAAATAATCAGTGGAGGAGACTGTGTGAAGATATTAATGAAAAGAGATTGGCCATGGATTCATAATAGAAGGTGAGGGTTGGGGATTTAGCTCAGTGACACTGTGCCTGCCTTACAAGTGCAAGTTCCCAAGTTTGATCCCCGGTACTGAAAAAAATCACACACACACAAAATACTTCCTATTCTTAAAAAAATAAAAGGTGCATAATAGAAAGTGGGTGGTACACATATAGACTCTATTTTTGTATTTGCTTGAAATTGTCCCTATTAAAATATTTAGAAGATAAAAGTTTAAGTATGGTATTTAAAGCTAATTATTAACCATCAGAAAACACAAAAATATAAGTATCAGGAGAGGGAAGCAGAGGGCTGCTGAGAGCTGGCAGAAGTGCACTAGACTGTCATTCTCCTTCTTCACTGGGAAGAGGTCTGAGCCAGGGCTACAACTGGAGAAGCAAGGCCCAGAGCCACAAGCAGATGGTCTAGAAGTTTGCAGATAACCATTAAAACACTTTAAAATCTTGCTTTAATGAAAAAGAGAGAAGAGAATGGAAGATTTCCTTTCTTGTTTTATATTATCTTGTACTGTCTGATTTTTTAACTTATTTATATATTTCTTCTTTATGATGTTAAGATACGTATAACACAAAACTTACATAAAAACATTTAAAATGTGCAAATTGGTGTCATTAAGGACATTTGCAACACTGTGCAACCATTTCCACTACCCATTTACAGAGCTTTTTCATCATCCCAAACAGAAACTCATTAAACAATAACTCCTTCTCCCCTCTCCTCCGTTCCCAGTAACCTCTATTCTGCTTTCTGTCTCTGAATTTACCTATTCTAGGTGCTTCATATAAGTGAAATGGTATGATATTTGTCCTTTCACATCTGGATTAGTTTTAGCATAATGATTTCTTGGTTTATTTATGTCAAGGCATGTGTCAGAACTTCAATCTTTTTCTAGCTGTGGTGAAATTTTCATAACAAAACTTATCATTTTACCATTTTAGGACAATTCACCAGCCTTAGCTGTGCACACATTTTCCTGCAATCACCACCGTCCATCTTTAGAACTTCTTCACCTTGCCAAACAGAAACTCTGTGCCATCAAATAATAATTTGCCATTTTCCTTTCCTGCCATCCCCTACCAACCATCATTCCATTTCCTGCCTCTGTGAATTTGACTGTTCCAGGTACCTCATTATCATCTCATGCAGTTTTTGTCCATTTGTGTCTGGCTTGTTTCACTTAGTGTAATGCTTTCGTGGTTCATCTGTGTTATAGCCTGCATCAGAATTTCATTCTTTTCAAGAATGAACTATATCTATGCACCATATCTTTATCCACCCATTTGTCGAGAGACATTTGTTTGTACGTTTTGGTTATTGTCAATAATGCTGCAGAGAACCTTGGTATGCAAGTATCTGTCTAAGTCTCTGCTTTAAATTCTTGTGAGTATACACCTAGAAGTAGAATTGCTGGGTCATGTGTAATTCTATATTTAACTTTTTAAGGAACTACCAAACTTTCCCACAGTGGTTGCACAATTTTATATTCCTGGTAGCAATGCATAAAAGGCTCAATTTCTGTACATCTTTAACAGCACTTGCTATTTGGGGCTTCTTTTTTTTTGTTAAATAGCTATCCCAATAGATGTGAAGGGGTATCTCATTGTGATTTTGATAGTGAACATTTTTTCATGTGCTTATTGACCAGTTACATATCTCCTTTGGAAAAATATTTGTGTCCTTTGTCCATTTTTGAATTAATTTGATTTTATATTATTGAGTTGTTGGGACTCATAATATATTCTTGACATTAATCCTTTACCATAGATATGATTTGAAAATATTTTCTTCCATTCTGTGTATTGTCTTTTTGTTCTGTTAAAGTATCTTTTGATGGGGAAAAGTTTTTCATTTTGATGAGATCTAGTTTATCTGTTTTATTCTTTTTTTTTCCTGAGCTTTTGGTGTCATATCCAAGAAGTTCTCAAATCCAATATCAGGAAGTTTTTTTCCCATGTTTTCATCTGTGATTTTTATAGTTTTAGTTCTTATGTTTAGGCTTTTGACACATTTTGAGTTAATTTTTATACATAGTAGAATGAGAAAGTAAAAATATGACTTTAGTAGTTTAAAAGTAAACATAAGAAAATAAGATGTAAAATTATTCAATGTAATTAATTCAATAAGATGATGGTTATGTTTTTAAAATTATTCCTTTAAGAAATGGAAGCAATTCGGTTTCCTTTTTTGCTTTTATCCTTAGAGACTCCTATCTTCGAAAATCACATTGTTCTAGCTTTTCCTCCTTAAGTTTTGCAATGGCCATCAGTTGAATTGCATTGGAAAGTCCAAAACAGACACTGATTCAAAGGTCAGCAATGACTCTTCCCCAGTGCTCTGGAAAACCTCAGAAGCAAGTGGTGTCCAGCCTGTGTGCTACTAGGAAGGTGAGCTTCTCATCTGGTCCAAAAGGAGGGACAAAAATAGATTCTGTGAGCCTAGGGCACTACACACAGTGTTGGGACTGGGCACATCCCACTAACTGTGGTGCTAGCTGTTGATCAGCCAACCTAGGTACCAGGAGGCACCGAGGCACCAAGGATGAGGGCAGACTCTGGGGGCCTCCCGGGGCAGAGTGCCCGGCTTGAGGGACAAGGGACTCTGCAAGTTTGTCCAAACCTGCTTTGTCTCTTTGCCCCTGAGTCTCTGTGCCTGAGCATCTGGGGTGGTGTTGCACCTGGGACTCTGGGACGGCACCAATGGGCCTCACATCAGCAACCCACTTTCAAGGACTTGGCTATGAGGCCATCAGCTCCCCACACACCGGCCCCTGAGCGCCATGACAGCTGCCTTTCACTGAGCACAGAATCCATGTTGTGTCACCAATCATCTGCTTCTAATAATAACCCGGGAAGGTGGGTGATTTTAGTCTCATTTTACATGATGAGGATACTGAGGGTTAATCATCAGCTTTAAGGTTATACAGCTAGAATTCAAACAAGGGTCATCACAGCATAGCCACGCACCACATAGCATCTTAGTCAGTATAAGAAAGTTGTTGTTGTCATTTTTCTGGTACCAGGGATCAAACTCGGGACCTTGTACTTGCGAGGCAGGTGCTAGAAACACTGAGCTAAATCCCCAGCCCATCTTAGTATATAACAGTGGTCTCATAGACTGCACTAGAGCTGAAAATGTGCTATTTCCTAGTGAGATTGCAGCTGCCATGTTGTCTCAGCACAATCTATTGCTCATGTGTTCGTGGCGATGTAACTGTAAACAACCACTACACTGCCAATCATATAAAGTATAGCAGCTATAACAACGTACCTTGCATAATTCTTGATAATGTTAATAAGTGACTGATGGTCCAGATTTAAATGTCCCCCAAAGCCTCCTGTGTTCATATGTGGGGTGTTTGAAAAGTGACTGATTGCGGGGCAGTACAGCTGACTGCTGTCTGGATGGAAGAGACGGGGTCACTGGGGGTGTGGCCTGGGAGAACTTATCTCTGGCCCCGCTCCTCCCTTCACACTCTGCTTCCTGTCCACCAGGCCATGAGCAACTCTCCTCTGCCCAGGCCTTTCCACCATGCTGCGTCTTCCCTGGAGCAGCGGACTATGCCTGAAACCTCTACAAACTGTGAGCCAAAATAAACCTCTTCTCCTTAAGTCGCAGGCATCAGGTATTGTGTCTCAGCAATGAGAAAGTGATTAGTAAGTGACTGTGTCACTACTCTAAGTATTTACCATACAACACATTTTATTGTTATTTTACAGTACACGCCCTCTATTTATTTTTTAAAAACAATGTTTAGGCTCTGTGTGGTGCTTGCCTATAACCCCAGGACTCTGGGCAGCTAGGATAGGAGAATTGCAAGTTCCAGCCCAGCCTGGGAAACTTAGCAAGACCTTGTCTTTAAGGATGGGAGGGGGTGGTTCAGTGCAACGGCCCTGGGTTCAATTCCCAGTACTGAAGAAAAGTATATTGTAAGCAGCCTCATACATCGAATGTTTACTATGAGTGGACTGAAGGGTCCATGGCAAGTGACAGACCTATCTGGACCATGTCGGTCTCCCTGAGCACACTGTGATTGGATCTCCCAGTTACACACTCCTCTGGGGGGCTCCTCTGCCACTGTCATCCAGCACAGGCACCACCACGTATTGACAGTCCTTATTCCCGGCCTGCGTGCCTCCTTCCACAGAGTCCGATCCTGTCATTAACAATGGTTTTCCAAGACCCACAGTCATCCCTGGATTTAAGCTCAGGCTCTCCTTGCCCGCAGCAGTGAGGGGAAGCCAGGCCTGCAGGGAAGAGGAAGGTCCTGGTCAGGACCTTTGGCTTTGGCTTTGCAGCCTCCCCCTGCCCTCTCCCTTAAGCGGCCGAACTGAAATGAGACAGAAATTGAAGAGACCTTGTTCCCCAGCCTCCCCGCTGACGTCCCTTAGCAATGATTTCAGAAAGCTCAAAAGATGTAATAGCTGCCTTTGAGCAAACTGACCAAGAGGTGGACCTGGGAGGTCTCTGCTTGCTGCAGGGCAATTTACTGCAAGAAACGAGGCTTCTTCAACTTCTCCTAACGCAGCTCTCGGGCGGGCACACTGAGAGGCGGAAGCAACAGGATCGAAAGTTTGAGCCCAGCCCAGGAAACAGTGACACAGTGAGACCCTGGCTCAAAATCAAAACTGAAAAGGGCTGAGGATGTGGCCCAGGGCGAAGGCCCTGGCTTAACCGCCAGTGCGGCCAACCAAGAAGAAAAGCAAGACTGGAAGTTTAGCTCAGCCCCAGGTATCTGCTTTGCAAAAGGCCCGGGTCCCATCCCTAGCACCAAAACAAGCATAGACTCAATCCTAAAAAAAAAAGTACAATGATGAAAAATACATTTTATATTTGTGATAGCCTGAAAGAATGGCTTCAGAAGCTCAAATTTATACTATGACAGAGCCCTGTTTCTGCTGCCTGTGCATATTCTTTACACACTGACTCAGGTGTGACAAGTGCTTTGAGGCCCCAAAGAAGCCAACAATAAATGAAATAAAATAAATACAAGTTAAAAAAAATCCTAGGGTTTTAGTTTTCGGTTGCTGCCTAGCTGACTTTGAGCGTGCCGCTTGAGGTCACTGGGCGTTGTTGTTTGAGTCATTACTTCAGATATTCTTCTGTTCCTTCAGCAAGCCCAGTATTTCTTGAGCACCTTCAGCTTAGAAGTGTACCTAAGAGATGTTAATTTGTGAAGGTGACCGAGTGATGACTCAGAAAGGCCAGTGCCACGGAAGGCATTTACCATCTCCCTGTCGCTAGAGAAGGGGCACACCACACATGCAGGGCCCTAGCGGAACCATGGGGACAGTCAGGAGGCAGAAGCAAGAGAGACGGGAACATCCAGGCCAGAGTCTGGCAGAGTCCGCAGGCTGGGACTGGCGGTATGAATAATCCCTATGGGGTTTTGGTACCCCAGTCGTCTCTAGTTGCTGGATACCTGGTCCTGGGGTGTCTCAGGCAGGGGAAGCATTGGCGTGGTGTGTTGGACTTAGGGAAGGAGCTGGCTGGGTGTTGGCCTTGGAGTTGGTATGTGAAACAGGAGCCCTGCCCACACACTTTAAGACCTGGCTAGCTCTGGGAGGTTGACAGCTCTCCCTGGGTCAGTGAGGTCCCCAAATGCCAGCCGATGAGGAATACAGAAAATAAAAGAGTTATCATCACTGGCCCTGTATGAAATACAGACCACTTTCCATGTCTTATTCTTTGTGGCAGATCCTGAAAATATACTGATGAGTAAAACCAGTATGGTTATCTTTGTGGAACATTTAATCTAACGGTAAAATAACGAGGCTGGATTAATCTCTCAATTATGTAATGTTACATAATACTTACCAGAGGGGCGGGGTCATGTCTGTGAGTTACTTGCTGCTAAAGCCTTGGTCAGCATCTAATCCTTAATCATAACGTGGTTTCAGCTGGGAAAGATTTTCTTTAAATGCCTGGCTCGTCACGGTTTCCAAGAGTACACCGCGGACGTGGGTAGAGTAGTGACCCTTGGCCACACACAGTTGCTTCTCAGCCTCAGAACTTCAGAGAGGCGGCCGAGGTCTGGGCACCAGGCAGCAGGAAGGCGGAAGTCCAGCCCTGCTCAAGGTTGAGGACTCTCTTGACCCCAGAGGGGGCTCACCCCGCCCGACAACAGGCCCAGATCTCCCTGAGCACCACACAGCTGCTGAGAGCCAGAGGAGGATGGTTTCAGTCCAGAGGGAAGGAGGGAAGCAGGCACGATGCATGGTCTTTCCAGTGCTTTGACTGCTTCCACCCGTCACAAATCTGCCCACTTTTCTCCTTCCTTCTCGGCCATGCCAACCCCAGCCACCATCAGGCCTCCTTCACTGTCCTGCTCGCCCCCGACATGTCCCAGTCTCTACGCTCACCCCTCCAATCCCTGCTCCCCAGTAATTTCTTCTGTGATCCCAATTAGTTAGAAGTATCTTAACATTTCCAAATCTGTGGAGGTTTTCTCCTACCATTTAGTTTTCTCGTTTCATGGTGCTATTTTCAGCCTGGATGGTACTCACGTTTTGCAGGTGGCGGAACCACTGAGCTAAATCCCCAGCCCCTATACTTGCTTTTTAAAAGATGTTCTATGTATGCTTAAAAAGTTTATTCTTTGTTGAATAAAGTATTCCCTCTCTAGATCTATTAATGGTGTAGTTCAAGTCTTCTGTTGTCAGCAGTTTTTTATTGTTTTTATCTGCCAGTCTGTAAGAGAGATTCTCCCACTGGAAACATGGATTCGTCAACTTTTCCTGATGATTCTGTCTATTTTTAAAATGTTTATTAGTACATGTTTGCAACACGGTGATTACATTAATCAGAGGGAGTTGGTACTCTTACATATCATGTCTTGATGCTCTTTAAGATTCTGTCCAGTTTTGTCTTTGATGCCTGAAGAATACATTGACGGGTAAATATCGGTGTGTGGTCTCCAAAGCTTTCTATCCTTTTGTTGAACTGTGCCTGCCCAGCACCACTGAATAATGATAGTCTCCAAAAGGCTCCTTTGAAAGAAGAGCTACAGGGGCTGGGGATTTAGCTCCCTGGCACCGCACCTGCCTCACAAGCACAAGGTCCTGAGTTCGATCCCCTGTACCAAAAAAAAAAAAAAGAAAGAAAGAGTAAGCAAGCTATAAGGGTGGGGTGTACAGTGGTGTGCACCTGTACTCTCAGCTCCCCAGGAAGCTGAGGGAGGAATATCACAAGTTCAAGGCCAACCTACCCAGGGAATTTAATGAATTAGCAAGACTCTGTCTCAAAAAAAAGAAAGACAAAGAGAGAGAGAGAACTAGAACATTTTAATTAGAAGCTCTGGGGTGGGACCCAGGCAAACTTCCCCCACCCATCAAAAAAAAAAAACCCCTCAGTGAATATTGGTGGCCAGAGTTGAGAATCTTGGTGTGAAGGTGAGGAACATAATAGCTAGTGCTGAGGTGGACTTGGGCCCCCTACCTTCCTGGACCAGAGTGTCCCTCTGAAACTGTCATGTGGGACCCCACCCCATGCCCAGCATCTCCTCTGCCCCTGTGATGAGTAGCATGGTAGTCACTTGGCTGAGGAGTGGAAGAACCAGGTGGATCACACCCTGCTGAACCGAAGGGCCAACTGCTGCCTTGACACACGCGTTGGGACCTTAATTTAGACCACAGCTGGAAACAAGATGATGTTGCAGGTGGGCACATGGTGGGACTTGGGGGAAGCCTCAGAAAGTCAAGGAGGCGAGTTCAAGTGTTCCAGCTGAACAATCAGGTTCCAGCCTCACAGCCAGAAACCAGCCTGAACTTCAGTGGAACTATGGGTACAGGCTTGCTGGGATTATCCACTACTCTGTAAATCTATGGCTGGCTGGCTGGGATTAATCCACACGGATCTGGGCTCTGTCTGTCCACTCTATCAGTGACAGCAGAGACACATTCTGAAGTGAACATTTTTTTCTTCTTTTTTTCTGTTGTTTTCCTTTTCTTTTGATTGTTTCTTCTTGTTTTCATGTGAAGATGAACATTATTTGTAGTTTTGTTGTTGTTCTGTTCTTGTTTTTATTTCTTCCTTCTCTCTTTCCCTCCTGTCTTCTCCATCAGTTCCCTAAACTTTGCATAATCTTCCACTGTCCTCCAGCCTTGCTTCTAATCTCTTCCTCTTCTTCTATTTCTCTATCCACCCCCAAACTCTTTTAACTTTTCTCCCTGAAGGTAAAATTGCTGTATTGAGAGCATATTTACTATATACAATTGTTATACAGATTTAATGCAATCCCAATCAAAGTACCACTAGTGTATCTCACAGAATTAGAGAAAGCAATGCTAAAATTCCTTTGGAACCATAAGCACCTAGAATAGCAAAAGCAATTCTAAGCAACAAAGGTAAGGCAGGGGCATCACAATCCTGGACTTGAAATTATACCACAAGGCTGCAGTGATAAAAAGAGCATGGTACTGGCAAAAATCAAACATGAGGATCAATGGAACAGATTATATGATGCAGAAACAACTCCAAACACACTCAGCCACATCATCTTTGACAACGAAGCCAAACAATTTCACTGGAAGAAAGATAACACAGATAATAAATAGTGCTGAAAAAACTGGCTTTCCACATGCCAAAGATTAACACCAGACCCAAATCTCTCACCATGCACTAAACTAAAATTAAAATGGATCAAAGGTCTAAATATTAAAACAGAAACACTAAATCCGCTGGAAGATTGAATAGGTGGAACTCTGGAAGACATTGGGGTAGTCAAAAACTTTATGAACAAAACCCTGATCACATAGGGAATGTTACAAAGGATCAACAACTGAGTTCTCATCTTATTAAAAGGTTTTGCACAGCAAAAGAAACCACCGACAGAGTGAACAGACAACCCATGTAGTGGGAAAAATATTTTGCCAGCTGTTCCTCAGACAATGGACTAATATCTTGAATATATAAAGAACTAAAAAAAAATCAGACTCCCCCAATTTAAAGACCCAGTCCAAAAATGGGCATCTGAAATGAATAGAAATTTCTGAAATGAAGAAGTAGAAAGAGCAAATAAGAATATGAAAAAATGTTCAACATCACTGATCATTTGAGAGATGCAAATTAAAACAACACTGAGATTCCATCTCATTCCAGAAAGAATGGCTACTATCAAGAAATCAGCCAATAGCAAATGGTGGTAGGGCTATGGGAAAAAAAGAACCCTTCTTCATTGTTGGTGCGAGTGTAGACTGGTGCGACCACTGTGGAAATCAATGTGAAAATTCCTCAAAAACTAAAACTACAGGTTCCATTTGATCCAGGTATTCCCCTTCTTGGTATCTTCCCAAAAGAATTAAAAGCATCATGTCACAGCGATATATGCATACCCATGTTTATAGCGGCATCCTTTATAATAGCTAAATCTTGCAAACAGCTCAATTGCCCATCAACTGACGAATGGATAAAGATGTGGGTTTTTTATACAATTGAGTACTACTCTGCCATGAAAAAGAATAGACTTGAGACATGTCTAGGTAAATGGATGCACCTTGAGACCATACTCTTAAGTGAAATAAATCGGACACAAAAAATGTCTAAATATTGCATTGTTTCTCTGGTGTGAGAAACCAACAGTGTAAATAAGGACCAAAATGTATAATAGATACTGGGATATGGGAAGAAAATGTTCAAATGGAGAGAGGAACAAGGGAGGGAAGGGGGAGAAAGAAGGAGGGGACAAGACAAAAAGGAGAATGGAAGGAAAAAATGGAATCAAAGCTTTTGTAAATAAGGATAGGAAGAGGGGTTGAAGGGAGAGGAGGGGAGTGGGGAAAATAAGAAAAATCTACATATATCACGTACAGGTACAAAGTCCCTATGATGAATGTGATCATTATATATATATATCTAAAATGTACCAACAAAATTAAAAGACAAATGTATAAAGCACTTATAGCAAAGGACTTAAATGGAGAAGCATCGGTTCCACTGAGTGTGGAGCCAAGAACCACCCTGTGAAACGCTGCTGCTCTGCCTCTGCGGAAGGTGCCTCACCAGAGGCAGAAGCGGCTTCCCCACCGTGATCATGATCAAGCCTCCCCATCAGTGAAGCAGCTCCTTTCCGTACTTGGTGGCCTAACAACATGAAGAGCCCAAAATGGCCCAGCACTGTCACAGCTCGGTTAGTGAGTGCTTGCTTTGGACCCTGGGGAACACACACCACCCTGGCCGCACGAGAACCTCTTGCCCAGCAGAGTCCAGCATCCCGGGCCAGAAAGTGTGAGCTCCCCGGTGGCTCACAGCGAGGAGAGGCGCAGCTCCTGATTCCAGGCGTGCTCTGGGCTGTGGACCCAACACCATGTGACCACCCTTGGCTCAAGGCGGTCACCGAGTCCCGAGGGACCAGATGTCCTGTGCTTTAGCTGTCGTTTTAAGGGGATATTCCAGTGTTCGATCAAGCTGGCAAGTCCTGGGTGCATTAAATAGGGCTAAAGTGAGACCCCTCACCCCGGTGGTAAGCTCTTTCCCGGGCTGCAGTATTGCTGCTGGTCTGCTACCTTGGCTGGGTGTGTAAGGCTGTGTCAAGGAGTTCCTACCAGAGCTTCATCACCATAACGACTGTCCTTCCACAGGCCAGGGAACAGCTACAGACTTCCAGAGATAAATAGATCCCAGTTACTCATCCAGTTACCAGTGACTCGGCATGAGGACAACCACCAGGTCATCTGACTGCAGGGTCCATTGGGCCACTGTGGGACACCTTCGGGGGAAGATGTTAACATCTGGCTCCACGTGTGCCTGTGCAGACAGAGCCCATGGGAGCACTCGGGTTCCTGATGTGTACGGTGGTTATAAAATACATACATTCTTTGACATTCCTCCCTTTTCAAAGGCCTCAAGGCCAAGTCCAGCCTTAGTTGATGGCCGCTGTGACTGACCTCGGGCCACCACCTCGTGAGAGACACCAAGCCAGAGCTGACCAACCAAGTCCCTTCCAAATCCATGGTGTACGGAAGTGGTGTGAGGTAAGAAATGATTTTGCTACTTTAAGCCAATATGTTTGGGGTGATTTACTATACAATAACAGATAACCTATACACCTAGAATCAGTTTCTAGTTCAGACACTACATTCAAAAGCCCTTAAAAATCTGAATATTCTCTTCCTCCCAATGTATGCTTTTGAAATAACTATGGGCTCCTTTGGGGAGAATGGCAGGAGCACCAACTCTGTCTGTTGCAGGGCCCTTCCTCAAGGAAACTCAGCCTCCTCTCTTATTGGTCTCTAGATCCAGGAACAGGCTCAGGGTTGGGCATTGGGCAAGGAATGGCCATGTCCTCAACTGAGCCTGATATCGGCCCTCTGCTCAACCTGCCATGAGCTCAGTTAGCAGCATAAGTCAAGCAAAATCCTCTTGATTTCCCATCTCTCTTGCTGCCAGGAACTGCATGGTCACTGCATCATCATCACCACAGACTACCACGGGCCAGTGTCCCCAGTGGCCATTCTGATCTTGCCGTCTGTACAGCGACAACCTCTGTGTGGAAGTGCTGCTCTCTGGACTTTGTCATTATGGATTTCGGTCATGTTGTTAATCCTGGGGATTCCAACTGCACAACAGTGCTTCCTCCATCACCCCTGAGCCTCTCCATGCTTCTGGTGGCCCTCACCAGCATTCCTTATCATGTTAGTGAATGGAGCACCATCTGAGCTCTCTTGGTCTTACTGAGTAAATTCACTCTAGCTGTTACGACTCTGGGACACTGTCTCTTTCCTCACACTCCGACAAAGCAGTTCCAGCACCTGCACCTGTCGACTGTAGGCTGCCATAGTTTCTGAGTTTCAAGAAACCATTCTGGCAGTGCATGGGGCCAGGTTCAGGGACCCTGGCCAGGTTGTTAATTCCTGAGCCACAGAAGCATGGCACTTCATCTACAAACTCCCCTGCCCAGACTTATCTCCCTTTCTCACTGCTCCCCACAACTTCTATTTCCAGGCATGTTCCACTCAGCCTCAGTCCAAACCCATGAGACAGAGCCTGCAGCACTTGGAAGAATAACTTCTTTCTTCCATAGCAGGGACAGGGTTTCTCTGCTCAGGCCAGGCTATCATAACTCCAGCTATGGCTCAAAGCTATGAGGAAGGTGAGAAAGATCTTGCAAAAAATAGACATCTTGCCCCAGGTGAGAGCAAAGATTTTTAGGTGCAAGGGGTAGTCCAGAAAACACCAACATGGGAGCAGAAAGTGAGCCAGGGAAGGGAAGGGAGGCGCTCATGATAGGTTTGTGGCAATTTACCACTTTGGCACGTTGGGCTCCACTTGGCTGGAGTATCTGGGAGATGGTGTGGAACATGCCTCGGGGGTGAGGATGCCAGGGGATCTACCCTGTATTTCACTTGGTTTATAAGGGTGTTATCCTAAATGCCCTCCAGGCAGTTGAGAGAACACACTCAGGCAGGCCTGCTGGTGTCTGGAGTAGGCTCTGTCAGCACAGACTGGAACCGATGGGGCAGCTCAGTATACCCATTAGCTACGACCTGTGTGTACATTTAACTGGCTGGGCACAGGTCACCCTGGAGAGAGACACACTGGAAGCCATCGTGAACCAGGCATTGGGGCAAAGGATAGCAGCTGAAGCTCACTCATGGTCAGGAAAGCTGCACCAGGACAGGTAAAGTGTGATGGGGAATAATACTGAAACTACTGAGCAAGGTCTCAGGCTACAGTGGTGGCCCTGAGCATGTAGGTACTTCCTGTGAGAGGGAGGATGTCACGGACTGCCCGAGGAGATGTTAGGAGGGGCACCTCAAACAGGTGTTATCCCCTGGCAATGCCAAGGACCAACCTCAGCTGGAAGGAGATAGTTAAGCTGATAAGCGAGCTTTCAGGAGCAGGATCGACATTTAAGCCCGTCATCTGAGCACACGATTCGCACAAGTCCTATTATAAAGAAACCCAGAGGTGGGCATGGTGGCCCACGCCTGGAACCCAGACTCTAGGAGGCTCCCAAGTGTAAGCCTGACCTGGGCAACTTAAGAGAACCTGTCTCAAAATAAAAGATTTTAAAAGGGCCGAGAGTGCAGCTTAGTGTGAAGGCCCTGGGTTCAATGCCCAGTACAAAAAAAAAAAAAAAATCCAATAGAAAAAAAACCCCAGAGTCCCTCACAGCACAACTAGGAAATCATTAGAGATTTTGGACAAGCTGGACAGAAACTGGTTCTGAGACATGTTTGGCTAGAGATGGTGGCTTTTTGAATTAAGGAGGAAAAAAGGCTAACAACTCAGAGAAGCAAAAATTAGTTAATGGAAAAATGCAACCAATTAAATTAGGATTAATTGCATTTTGAAGGTAATCATATTTACATTGCTGGAGCACAAAAAATAGATTAAATTTATTTGAAAACATGTACAACTCTTTCCAGCCCACGCTTACAGCCATTCTCCTCAATAAACGTGGTTCCCATTAGAAACAGTGGCACACAGCTCATTGTAATTTGTGAAGAGAAAAACAATTTCCTGTTTTCCATCTAACTCACTAAGTGATTTCTAGTGGTTCCTTTGGGTGGTGTCTTTTTTCAATAGGGTTGGGGGCGGGACAGGAAAGGCTCTGCTTCTCCCAGGGCCTCAGACCCTCATTACTGCCCCCCAACCAGGTATTTGAGTCCCCTGAGAGATGTGTTTTTAAATTGTGAAAACAATGCATTTCAGATGGACTGGGAGTAGAAATCAAGACCCAATAAACCTTAAGAGACACAGACCTGCAATGAGAATTACAAGATTAATTTCAAAGAGCATCCCAGGTGGGGTTAGGGTAAGGAATGGGGGAAGGACACTTTAATACACTTGGAACTTGGCCCTCGAGCAAAAATACCGCACACAGATTGCCTGCTAATGGATGCCCACTGGCCTTTATGATCCCAGATGATAAAACTACTCCAAGAGGAGCAACACGGTACTGAGCACTCTCCTTGTTACCGTGCATCCTGCATTTACTCTTCACAGCCAGGTGCTCCCAGACCTATTTCACTATTAGCCAAAGAGCCAGAGTTCTACAAGGGCTGAGTAGCCTAAGTCCGGTGGCCAGTGCCTAGAGGGTTCTTCTGGCTCTAAATCCTTGCTCTTGACCTTCACTCCAGTGCTGTCTGAAGAGACAGTGCTACACGAGACAGGCAGACTCGAGTTTCCTTATTGGATCGTGGATAGTGGACAGTAGCAGGGTGGGATTCCTGAGACCCTTGTCCCGCGCTCAGCATTTTCAGTTCTCAGGTCTGAGCAGACTTCTGACCCATCCTGGCTCCCAAACATTGGCGCTGCACACGTGGGCTCCTGGGAGAAGCCATGGGGGAAGCCAGGCGTGTGTGCCTGGGTGCAGTGGTCTCCACTGCTCTGGGCCTGGACTACCTCCCTCCTGGCCACTTACCTCTTCCCAGAGGTACTCTCTTCTCGGAACTCACTGCAGAGCAAATAGCCATGGAATTTCCTATGAACACACGGGTTTTACTACTCTCTTCCTGCTATGGGGATTTTGAATAAATTTATATGGTTCTTGTAAATGCTAAAGATAAAAGCATGGAATGCAGCTCTTATCCCCTCCCACCCTTCCTCCCATTTTTAGTCCTCTTAATACAGGAATGGGCCGACCCCACCCATTATAGCTGAATGTGCTACAGTAAATCTGAAAAAGAAAACAATCCCAACCATCTTGCCAATACCCTCAGAAACTGACTTGCCACGGGGAGTAGAGAATGTTCTGCATTCTACTTTTAGGTGAAAAACAGAAAGAGGCAGGAAAAATAGTTAAACAAAACACTGATTTCTTTTCAGAGAATTTTTTAAAAACTTAACATCAACTTTTGGACTTCAGGTTAAAACAATATTGTGAGTTTACTCTTTGACTCCCCTCCCCCTCCAGGTCTTACAGTTAAACACATTTTTCTTTACATGAAAAAGACAGAGCCACAATTAGAATCAAAATAAACACATCCAAGGACAAGAACTGCACCGACGTACAGTGTTGAGTGCTGATTTTGCAAGTTTCTGGAGCTGTAGGCAGAGGGGTGGGAGTTCAGGCTTGGGACAGCTTCCCCGCAGGAAACCAGAGCCCACCTGGATGAGGAGGTGATGCAGCAAAGGCAGGGCATGGCTGGTTTAACAAAGCATGATTCACAGGTGGAGAAGGAAGCAGAGGCAAACCAGAGCTGAGGGAAGCCACCACCAAATAATGCATTACAGTTTGGATCTAAAATGTCCCCCAGAAGTGAGATTGGATGGTGGGGGTGCTGAACTCATCAGTGCATGGATCCATTGATTGGGAAAGTGTCCAAGACAGAATGGGAGCCCCAACCCAGGAGAACAGGAGGAAAGCAACCACAAGACTCAGGAAGAGCGAAATACGAGCGAGATCAGAAACAATTTCCGACCCAGGTGACCCCAGGACACAAGAAAGGGAGATCTAAGAAAATATTCCTACAGATGCCTTTGGACGCATCTAATAAAAGCCATCTCAGAATGAGTTAGAATGATTATGTTTGAGCTCTTCAAGTTAAGGTGGAAGGGCTCACCATAGATATTCATGAGATGCTATGAAACAAAACCAGGAGGTAAGGAAATGAGAGATGAAAAAGAATAAAAAATGTCTTGGAAAAAGCAAATATAGTCACTCAAATGACAGCTTGTTCAGTATGGCCTCAGTTCGTAGTTCATATATATCCAACTGTCCCTCCCACACGTGGAGCAGCCATAGGGTGACACTGTGGGAAATTTCATGTACAGAATGTGAAAAAAAGCTCTTTGGCCATCAAAGGAAATGTGTCTGTATGTCAGAGAGAGAGAGGGAGAGAGAGGGAGAGAGAGGGAGGGAGAGGG